ATCTTAAAAGTATAATGTAGGTTATTGAGAGGACAGAGTGGTAAAAAAAATTAAGAAACCATCAATGGACATTTCTTCAGTGTGGGAGAGGAAGATCCTCTGACAGACTTTTTTGCAATGTGGTGAGGATAATGTGAAGGTATCGAGACAAGAGTCTCAGCCATGAGGTACTGAGAAAGGGGTCCTGAAGCAGTTAATACCTAGGCTGTTGTGTTAGTCACTGTTCCTTTGCTATGAAGGGACACCATCACTAAGACAACTCTTTCAAAAGAAAGCATTCAATTGGGGTCTTGTTTACATTTCAGAGGTTTAGTTAATTATCATCGTGGCAGGAGCATGGTAGGCATGATGCTGGAGTAGTAGTTGAGAGCTATATCCTGATTTGCAGGCAGAGAGAGAGAAACACTTGGTTGGGGGAGTCATCTTTTGAAAACCTCAAAGCCTACCCACCAGTGATACACTTCCTCCAACAAGGCCACACCTCCTGATCCTTCTAATCCTTTCAAAGAGTTCCACCCCCTGGTGATTCAGTATTCAGATACAGAAGCCTGTGGGGCATTCTCATATTAAATACAACCTTTCCCTCAGGTATCTCAAATGATAATCACAATCCTCATGTAGTAGTTTCCTATAGCTGCTATAAGTAAGTACCACAAACTGGGAGGCTTAAACTACACAAATTTATGGCCTCGAAGTTCTGGAGACTAGAATTCTTTTTTTTTTTTTTTTTAATTTATTTATTTATTATGTATACAGTGTTCTGCTTGCGTGTATCCCTTCAGGCCAGAAGAGGGAGCCAGCTCTCATTACAGGTGGTTGTGAGTCACCATGTGGTTGCTGGGAATTGAACTCGGGACCTCTGGAAAAACAGCCAGTGCTCTTAACCACTGAGCCATCTCTCCAGCCCAAGACTAGAATTCTTTTTTTTTTTTTTTTCCTCGAGACAGGGTTTCTCTGTGTAGCTTTGCGCCTTTCCTGGGACTCACTTGGTAGCCCAGGCTGGCCTCAAACTCATAGAGATCCGCCTGCCTCTGCCTCCCAAGTGCTGGGATTAAAGGCGTGCGCCACCACCGCCCGGCCCAAGACTAGAATCCTAAGATGGAGGTGTCAGGTTGGCTCATTGTGAGGACTGTAAGGGAGGGTCTGTTTCGTGCCGATCTTTAAGATCTTTAACATATTGCTGGCTCGCAGGCACTCACTGGTGTGGCTTGGTTGTAAAGGCTTCACTGTAACCCCGGTCTCCGGAAGCATCTGCATTCTGTCTTGATCTATGCTCTCTCTTCTTCTAAAGAGTATCAGTCTTATTGGATTAGAAAGTTCCCTACTCTAGGATGAACTCATTTGTTGTTGAGACAGAGTCAGTGGTGCTATTTGGTTAACAGGAGCTTGAACTCCTGATCCTCTCGTCAGCTATATAATATTATATTATATAGCAGCAGCAGGCCTAATAAAAAGAGAATTAGTGACCGTGTTGGTGGTGTTGGCAGTGGTGGTGGTGGTGGTGGTGGTGGTGGTGGTGGTGGTGGTGGTGGTGCACGCCTTTAATCCCAGCACTTGAGAGGCAGAAGCAGGCAGATCTCTATGAGTTCGAGGCCAGCCTGGTCTAGAGTGAGTTCCAAGATATAGCCAGGATGGTTACACAGAGAAACTCTGTCTTGAAAAAGTGACAACAGAGGGCTGGAGAGATGGCTCAGAGGTAAAGAGCACTGGCTGCTCTTCCAGAGGTCCTGAGTTCAATTCCCATCACTCACATGGTGGCTCACAACTATCTATAATTCAATCTGGTGCCCTCTTCTGGTATGTAGGCAGAACACAGTATATGTAATAAATAAATAAATCTTAAAACAACAACAGAGAGAGAGAGAGAGAGAGAGAGAGAGAGAGAGAGAATTTCCAACTTTCTAACCTAAACTGCTTCAGTCATGTTTAATTTAAACCAGAGAGAAGAAAGAATTAAGGAAACTCACATTACTGTAAATACACCAATTAAAAACATGGGAAGAAAAACTTAATGTAATATATGCTATGTCAAAATTAAATAAAATTAAATGTTGCCTCACAGGGAACCCTGGTACCAGAAAAGGGAAATACCTAATGTACATACACTCCCCCCCAACCCCCCAACCCCCCACCCCCGCCTGCCCAGAGCTATAAAACTAAAAGAAACAAAACCCTAAATCAAAGTAACTAATGGAGTGGTTTGAATAAGAATGGCCCCCTGTAGGCTCACGTATTGAATGTTTGGTTTCTGGTTGGTGGACTATTTAGGAAGGAATAGGAGGTGTGGCCTTGTTGGAGGAGGCACGTCACAACATCAGGCCCAGTTTTACTTTCTCTCTCTTTGCCTCTCACCTCAAGATCAGGATGTAAGCTCTCAGCTACTGCTCCAGTGCCATACATGCCTGCCTGCTGCCATGCTCCCTTCCATGACCACCACTAACCCTCTGAACCTACAAGCAAATCTCTAGTTAAATGCTTTATTTTACGTGTTGCCTTGATCATGGTGTCTCTTCTCAGCCATAGAAGAGTAACTAAAACATCTAATAATTTCAAAAGTAACAAAGAACAAAAACCAGATGCATAAATGAGCAAACTATATTAGCTATGTCGACATTCCCAGACAATTCGAATGCCTAACACTTGTAATCCTTGTGGTTTCCCTCTGACTTCTACACAGTTGCTTTTATTTCTCCTACTGAATTTCTTGGTTAGATTTTTTTTTTTTTTTTTTTTTGGTTTTTTGGTTTTTCAAGACAGGGTTTCTCTGTGTAGCTTTGCGCCTTTCCTGGAACTCGCTTTGGAGACCAGGCTGGCCTCGAACTCACAGAGATCCGCCTGCCTCTGCCTCCAAGTGCTGGGATTAAAGGCGTGCACCACCACCGCCCAGCTTCTTGGTTAGATTGTGAAATTAGCATACAGTGCGATAGGTGTCATTATGGTACTTTCATACCTAATTTATTTTTGTAATTCCCTCCAGGTCTTGTGCCCTTCTGCCCCTGGCAGTTCCCTTTCTGCTTTCACGTCACAAATGTTTTATTTCTCTTCCCCTCTTCCATGCAGCCTCAATTTGTCCCTCTCGTGGTTCCCTTTTTATTTCCATGCTACCTATGGTCAAATCTTCATGGACAAATAAATTCTGTCAAGCAGGGGCTACAGCTTGCTGGAGTGCTTGTTTCCACCTCCAGCAGTTTGAAACTGTACTGAGTGTGATGGCACTGGCTGGAATCTTAGTCTTAGTTCTCAGGAGGTAGAGGAAGGAGGTTCAGAAGTTCAAGGTCACCTTTGGCTACACAGTAAATTTTGAGGCCAGCCTAGGATACATCAAACCTTATCACAAAAAAATAAAAAAATAAAAAAAAATTAAAAAGATTCCTCAAGAACCTATCTTTAGCCAGGTGGCGGCGGCACACGCCTTTAATTCCAGCACTAGGGAGGCAGAGGCAGCAAAGTGAGTTCCAGGAAAGGCTCCAAAGCTACACAGAGAAACCCTGTCTCAAAGAAACAACAACAACAAAAAGAACCTATCTTTTTCTGCTCTTTTATACAAAATATGCGTATTTGGTCAGTTTCATCATTGTAGCAGATTCCTTGGCATATTTAGAACCTAACAAACACTTCCTTAGTAAATGTCTTAAGTAATGGTTTCACAGAATGCTGATCTTTCTCAAAAGATACTTTCTCACCGGCGGTGGTGGCCCACGCCTTTAATCCCAGCATTCGGGATGCAGAGGCAGGCAGATCTCTGTGAGTTCAAGGCCAGCCTGGTCTACAGATCGAGATTCAGGACATGTACCAAAACTACACAGAGAAACCCTGTCAAGAAAAGAAAAGAGAAAGAAAAAAAAAAGATATTTTCTCAAAAGTACATTCTAAATTAAAATAAGCATGGCTTAGCTACTTATACAATGTGATCATGAAGGCTGATCTTTGTGGTGATGAACAATGCTAAACAAATGGATATCGGGAATATACTGTCCAAAACCAGTATAAAGTGGCTACATATGTTTATTTCTGAGTAAACAGTAGAAATAAGTGAGCATTAGACAGTTAACATTTACAAATGATAGTCAAGTAACATTGTAGAGTTGGCATCCACAGGCAGAAGATATAAAGTATCGACATAGCTGGGCAGCGCTGGTGCAGGTTTTTAATCCCTTCACTCAGGAGGCAGAGGCAGGCGGATCTCTGTGAGTTCCAGGCCAGCCTGGTCTACAGAGTGAGTTCCAGGACAGCCAGGACTGTTTCATAGAGAAACCCTGTCTTGAAAAAACAAAACAAAACAAAAAAACAAACAAACAAAAAAAAGGATCGACATAAATTACTTCATTGATGCTGCATTTGATCCTTATTTTAGATATTTGGTTAAATATATAAATTTTAGAAACATTTCCCCGCTCTGTTTAACAAAATGGGTTCTGCTGTCTAGATATTTGCTTGCCTTTCCCCAGACCCCGCCCCACCTTCCGAACTCAAATTTTTGGTGTGAAGTGCTTTTTGCTCAGAGTAAAATAATTGACTCTGTGCTTCGTTCAAATGTTACTCATTTTCCGCTTTGCAGAATTTAGTAAGCATAAACACATAGCTACCTGGGAAGCGCAAAGCATAGACTTCAGAGATCCTGTAATGTCATTACTACTGTTGTTCTGTCTCATGGTCCCAAATTGGCATTTTTTCATTATTTCCTATCCCCTCCATGTGACAGGTTTGGTTTTGGGCGCTTTTGATAGCTAAATCGATCTCTTTCGGGCTATTAGATTGGCTCTTTGCCATTTCCCGTTTAAGTTACTATGCCGAGTCTCTAAGTTGCTTAGCTTGCTTTTCCTACGGGTTCGCTTCCTCTTTCCCACTGTGTCAGGCTCTCCTTTCTCTCTTCCTTACATCTTTCTTACTCTCTTACTTATGAGGGGGTATTTAAATTTCAACCCGGAACTCGGGACCGCGCGCCCTGGACGATGGGAGTCGTAGTTCCTGGGACCCGTGGGTAACCGCCTTTCGGGCGGATGCCGGCCCTTGGCGAAAGCCCACAAGTCCCAGAATGCACGCGGGCGGGCCCGCCCCCCGCGCGCAGGCGCCCTGGCGCCGCAGGATTTGAATCGGCGGCGTTGTTATTGACGCCATATTGGGGCCGGCGGCGGGTGGCAGAGTTGGGTCCGTGGAGAAGGAAGAGGGTCGAGAGCCTTGCCCAGCGCGCCGCGGCCGCAGCCACCCCCCAGCCGCCGCG